GAGAGCAATTTCTCTATTAAATGTAAATCACTTGGAATCATTATGGTTTTTGGTTATCGTTCTTACACACCCACAAGTAAGGCACAAGCACACAAATACACAGGCCACACTTCAATGCATTTCAACAAACACCAGATATAGATAGTGGGTGCGAGTAGAAGAGAGGCAGAATATCGGAGAATATCAACATACACACAGCAACTACAATAACGAATAAATAATGTATTGTAATAAGTTTATCGTTCCAGAGAAAACCTTTGACCACACACAAAATGTGCTCTTTCTCTCTTACGCTTTCGATGAATATTTACATAATATGCTGTCCCTTGGTTTGTTTTCGGATCGATGCAGGCCAAGCAAGCGTTCATCGTATTCTCTACTATGTGTGTTTTATGGATTTCCGTAAATGACTAGCATTGCGGCATCGATTACACTATTACTTGTTTATCCATGTGCCCGATGTGCTCTCTCCGTTTCGTAATGGTCTTTCACTCGTTCTCTCTCCCGATGTGGAAACAAAACACCTGTATGTCAATTGCATGTGTTCAAATGTCCACGAATAAATTGTTCTGCTTTTTTTTTATCGGAGAATACATTTATGGCAACATAAACATCTGTACAAATAGCTCTCGGTGAATATATCGTGTATAGAATGAAAAAAAGAAGAATTTCATGTAATGAAACTGACCCCGACATTTATGTCCACTCTAGACGTTCACTTTGACCGCACATTACTCTGGCTACAAACATTTTCAACTGCAATAAATTACACCAATTCACATTTCGTTCGCTCTCTTGCTTGCTCGCTCGCTCACTTGCTCACACTCTTCGCTGCTCGCTGGGACTGGGAAGTGACAGAAAGTTCCGATACCACAAACCAAATAAACATATCACCTCGATTTACAATAGCTTGCTTTAACATTATCGACCGCAGCCATTGCACTCGACCAACCAAGCAACTGACCAACCGAAGGTGCAATCATAATGATGACAGACATTGGTCTCAAAGTTTTCCCAAACATTTTCATCGTCTTCATTTCGATTCCATACACCGGACGACGGGAATATATGTATTCATCGATTTGGTTTTCTAGGGAATTTCAAAATTCATTCTCTCCCTCTTTCTCCCGGCCCAAATCGGTCATTTAGTGAATTACCCAAAAATTATCGATTTTGTCTGTCGCTCAGCTAATGTGTTCGGAGCGTGTGTATGTGTGTGTATTTGAATTTATGAAAAGTCGTGAGGGCAAATGTCACATTCTCCAAATTCTCTGTCACGTACCAAATCACCAAAGAGTTAGCATTCAATTGGCATTTATGTTGTCCAGACCTTAAATAGATATGTGAAGCAATGTGATTCTTTTGCAATCAGCTTCGGAAACGTACGGCTGACTGGATTGTTATGCGTCATACACCGTTAGACAACAGACCGACACCGCATCGGTGTGTCGCATTCATCGGTGAAGACCAATTAGGTTTGACCATTGGGGAAAAATATATAGGTGAAATTCCAATTCAAGAGAATTTTCACTGTAAAATTCCAAAGCGTTGATGTGATTTTGTTTTCGATTTCGATTCTGAATGCTGAATCAGTGCCTTTTTTACTCTGTCCAATCATTTTATGGATGGCCATTGGCCATTTTTTTTTTCAACTTCATCGTCACTAGATGTACTATTGAAGGAAATTCAATTAGTAAGAGTGAACGATTTCGGCGATGTAAACGATTGTTAAATATGAAACGTTACAGATATAGATCTTGCTTTCAAGCCAAACCATTGATGTGGTAGCGAATGTAAACGTGAATTTCTTGTTACACCATTAATGGCACGTCTCTATTGCTCATCGATCAAATCTGTCGCGATGAAATCAATCGATGTGAATAGAAATTACATTAAATTTCGATCGCAAGTGCTTGGAGCTGTGAATAAGAAAACGTTTGAACAGGTTTTGTCTGTCATAATCGACATTTCATTCCATTGAAACGGAACCATTAACTAAATTGAAATATAAATGTACATCGTAACTATTGATTGAACGAAATATTGAATTCAAATTAGCAGTTTTAGTTGAACGACTGAAGCAAAACAGATGAAATTTGTAGTTTTTGTTTCATTAAACACTCGAAATTGGCTTTTGATTGGATGGGCAATTTTCAAAATGCTCTAATTTAATGTGGTACAATTTCTGTGGATTGAACGAAGAAACATTTCATTATGATTAAATCATGCGTATATCTTGTTGTCTCAGAATCGTCGCTTCTTCTTTTTCTTTGTCGTCGTCGTTGTTTTCCTTCTTCAATCGACGCATGATTGCCCGAGACTTTTTTTTCAATTTCATTTCATATTAAGAATCTATTACGCGCTGTGATCTCGTGCTATTGTTTATCTAAAATTTTCATTTCGAAATTGCAAGAGGGTGGAAAGAAAAAGTCGTTGACGGTAATTTTTTTCTGCTTGTCGTCAGCAAGAAAGAAATTGCAAATATCCTGTGAAGGAAAGTAATATGAGCTAATCTCATGCTCAATTGCTTTTATTTGCGTGAGTGCATCGTGCGTTTGAATAGAAGGGAGCCAGTTAGCTGAGGGAATCGTGCACAAAACACCACCCGTCAATAAAATGCGTTTCAAGAGGTCTTGAGATGCGTATTTGATTTGAAATTTTGTATTGCTTGTTGTTCTTCACTTGATCCATTCATCCGCACGAGCACAGCGACACACACACACAAAATGCAAACCATTTATTTCATTCTCGGTACAGAAAAAAATGCTTGTTGCGTTTAAATCCTCGAATGCATTACGTTGAATATGCGTGTACTTGCTTGACACGCATTTATCCATCATTGGATTGCGTTGTTGATCGCATTCTTTGCGACTTAAATGCGTTTTGAGAGCTCGCTTCTTCACAATTTTCCAATTTAAATTTAAATTCAGTGATATTAGTCACATTGGCTTAATGGTTTGACTTCATTCGCTTTATTTTCCCTCTTGTTTCGCTCTTTCTCTGGTGTGTGCGGGTGTAGGGGACATTGCGAGAGAAATTGCCAACGCAGCGATCGAAGAATTGATGCAAGTTCGCATATTAATAATGACAATAATAACAACAATGACAATAACAATAAAAGCAAATGCATTTTGTTCCAAGATAGATTCTACTTAATGCCATGTGACAATAAATTCCATTTGCGCAGCTTTAAAAAAATGTGATGCCCAAGTGTTGGTCTTACGCGAGCGCTAGCGCGAGATAAACGAAACAGAGACAAAAAATTATGCTTGTTCAGTGAAAAAAGTAGGCATCTTTTCAAGGTTTATTCTCTTTTCAATGGGACGAATGAGTGCGCGCCTTGACTATTTTTAGCCGCAAATTGTACCGCGCACAGGCATGACATCGTGTACTATGATACGCCGACAATTAATTTTAATAAATTGTTAATGTTTTCTGTTGCTTTTCATAGAAACAATTTGGTCGGTGTGCTCGTTGTCTTCATCGTCTCTCGTGAATGGAACTGTGTGTACAGTACAGCGTCGATGAACCTGCAGAAAAAAACTTTTTTTTTCTCTCAGTGTCGAAAAGTCAGTAAACCGCTTACGCTAAATAAATGAACGATGTAACGTGAAGCGTGCAGAATGAAGAGGAAACCGAAAAAAAATTGTCCGGACCGAAAAAAAAAATCGTTGTCACTACCTTTGATGCAATATGAAACCGATTGAAGTAAGCGAGTGAACGAGCAAGAGAATGGCAATGAAAGCAGAATTTTTTGTGTCTGTCTCTTTCGTTCATACACACAATGAAAAATGCATCTAGTCAAATTTGAAAAAGTTCATAATAAATTGTCGTGTAATTTGTAAGGGGATTTATTTGGATTTACAGTCACACTCACATTCGAACACACACAACTGACGTTGTTCGAGATGAAAAAAAAAACGGCTAGCAACAATTTATGGTAAAAACCAACGAAACCGAATGAGACACAGTCATCTCTGCTCGCACGAGACAAATAAGATGGAACGAATGAGCGGGGAGAAGAAAAAAATCTTTGCTATTTGAAACTATAATTCACACTGATCACTAAATCAATGTCTATCTGTTTGAATAGTTGTCGCTGTTGCCGTTGCCATCCATCGCCTTCTTTCTCGGTCAGATTCTTTTCTCTCTCACTTGTGTATTTGTATTTCATTTAATTTCATTCTTTTTTTTCTGCTCCATCGTCCCCTGCTCGTTGTTCTCGTTTTTTTTTGTCTTTTATTTTTATTTATTAACGAAAAATTGTGTGTGTGTGTGTTTAGCCAATGGTGTTTCAGTGCATCACGGTCATTCGTACCATACATATTTCTTCTGCCGAAGCTATGCAATAAATAACTGGAAAAATGCGCTCAAGATTCCAATTTTATCGTTTAGCCGTTTGGTTAGTTGCTGTTGCTGTTGTTGTTCTACTTCGTTCGTATGAACGATGCACGAAATGGAGCTTTATGCAGAATGAGCGTATATGTGTGTGTAACTTCGAAATTTATGATAATATGCATCTAGTAAAACTATTATTGTTATTATTATTTTCATATTTATTCCTTTATGATGATGATGATTATGTTAGTTTGGCTCGCTCTTCTTCTTCTTCTTTTTTCTTTTCGTCTTTTAATGACGTGTACTCGAACATGCAATTTATCTCGTCTATTATATATCGTATAGCTTATCGCGTCCAAATCTTTTCACTCTTGGCGCTCCATCTCGTCGTTTTTTGTTTTGTGTCTAGCAATGAACTCGAAATGCACATCGAATAATGACCACGTAGTTACTCTGAACAGTGACACAGTGTCACCGCCAATACAGAACGCGTAACTTAAAGAAAGAAAAAAAATCGTGATCCAGCAATAAAACCACATGGAATCTTGATTCTCTCGTGATTGCGTCTAGAATTTCCAACGCAGACTAGAACACAAAACCGCCACTAAAATTTGATGTGAATATTTACCTCTGTACAAACAGGTGCCTCCACACATGTAGCCTCGTCCAATGAAAACTGAAAATCACAAAAGGAAAATTGAAACAAATTAGTCGACACACAATACAAATACCAATTTTATGTACTAGCAAATGGACACAGAAACTAACATAGACGAAGAAGAATAGCTGAAAAAAACAAACAAATTGTGAAGAATGATTTCTCGATGGATTTTTTCGAATCAATAAAAATTAAACGGCTTATCAATTAATCCCAATCAAAACAACGATTTGATTTCTGTTAGCTAGTGAAGTGCTTTATTCTGCTTATTTGGACTTGATCATATGGATTTTAAAAGGATTTAAGCGAGTCTTGACTGCTTTAGCCTCATCTGTCGATCTCTAAACAAACGTCTCTGTCGCTCTCTAAAAAGACGTTGGTGTGGTTTTACAAGAGGAAAAAAACAAACACGTTCTAGCAAAACCGCAAAACGCTAAGCCAACGAAACTTGTAAAAGAGTTCACACATTTTCAGATGCCAACGCGACAAACATACACAGTTCAAACGCTTAATTCCATTCTTAATCGTCCAACTCAATCATAATTTCACTTCGTCTTAAAAGTCACACACTCTCTCTCTCTCTCTTTTGTTTTTCTAGATGTTTTTTTCTTTGTTCAAACTTCTTATTGGTTTTTTTTTGTGTGTGGCACTTAAATCTGGTTATTAATAGGTGGCATTATGGGTTGTGTTCGACCATTTTGTACTATGTCACATAGCATTGCGATGCATTTCTGTTGTCATAATTCTCCAAAATGACCATAAATCATTTATTTGGTGTGTCGTTGAAAAATTAGACAATTTTTCTCTCTCTCTCTCTCTCTCTCTCTCTCTCTCTCTCTCTCTCTCTCTCTCT